AATAAAAATCCCCAATTTTTTTTACGTTTATATATATATAAAATTTTTTTTTTTTTTGATTTATTTTTGGGAAAAAGGAATGAGAAAAAAGAAGTAAAAAAAAAAGAATAAAAATATTATTTTTTTATATTCGTATGCAGAGCGTGTTAGTTGACTTTCAAATAGAATTGCTTGTGAAAGCAAAATTGAAATGAAAAATTTGAAGAAAAACGCTAATCTTTTTATATTTAACAAAATTTATATATATATATATATATATATTTATATATTTATACATATATGTAAGTAAAGCATACGTAAAAAGAATGCAGGGATTATTGTTTATCTATTTAAAAAAAAGCACGTGCACGTGCATTTGTAAAAAGGATGATAGCTAAAGCATATTAATTGTAATTACTAGTGAGTTAATAAACATTTTTAAAACATTTTATTTATCATTTCATCAAAAGTTTTTATTTCATTTTAAATACATATGTATGCATAATAAAAAACGAAAAAAAAATTAAAAAAATTATCTTTTAATGCTTGAATATTTTAAAACAATACGAACGCTTTTACATGCTCTAGATGAGAAGAAAATGAAAGCGAATCTACTTAACGCAATACTATGATTTTGCTCGACCGTCACTACTGTACTTTATCTATATTGTGTTGTTTTTCTTCTTGTTTTTTTTTTTTTTTTTTTTTTGTTTAAGCTTTTATTCTATGATTTACTTCTATTTAGATAATGAATGATACGCTTGTCAACCAATATTGTGTGAAAACATGATAAATGATAAACGCTTTCCATAGAAAACTGTATTATTGTTATTGTTGTGGCGGAGAGTTCAAAACCAAAGTTTGTTTCGTTTTTTTAATTCAATCTTCAGTTATATCTCATGATTTTCTTCCATTTTAATAGATGTTCAAATGTTGTCTCTTATCCAAATCCAGCTGAAATGATATAAGTGAAAGTAAGACAGGTCCGCTCAACCGCTATTTTAAGAAAGACGAATGAAGGCGTTGTTGCCATCTCAGAAAGCATGCCCCTCGTTTCGTGCCGACGGTTATCAAATATTTTCGCGTATTATTTTTTTTTTTTTTTTTTTTTTTGTTTTCTTTATATTTGTCTAAGGAACAAATTTTATCCCAGCAATATACAAAAAGTTGATTATAATACAAGGATAGTTTAGAACATATATACGAATGCGAGGAGAAACGGAGATGAAATCTTAGCTTACGTTGAAGCTAATTGCATTTATTTGCATGACGCAGCAAATAGCATTTTAAACGTCATGCATAAATTGATGGCAAATTTATTTAAGAATCATAAGCTTGTTAATCGAGTAATCGAAACAATTTGTGTACAAAATTTTTAGATAAGGTTGAGAAAGACTTTCTCTATTAAGAATAAACTGCAAACGTCATCTTACGACAGAACTGTGCGATTGCAATGACAAAAATGCTAGGGACTACTATGCCAACAAAAGATGGCATCGAACGTTGCTGTAACCGAACATGGAGTCTCGTCAGAGTAATAATTAAATAAAACGGTGATAAATAAAATCATGTAGCAAAGCGCAAAGTATCTGAATTCAAATTTTCTATTTCAATATTGGTGATTCTGTGAATGCATGTTAGTGAAATATGAGCCCCGAAGAATAAAATTCAATTTACAATCAATTTGCAATGCTTCGCTTATTAAATTGTTTAAGGATTATCTGCACATCTGCTGCTGTGCATCACACACAAAACGAAAATATTATATAAGTAAATTTCCAGTCTTCCATTGTTAGCATAAAAATTTAATAAAAATTGACAGCTTTGGTTCCATAACCAGTTTAAAATTTTATAGATAAACTTACTAGTTGTGCTAAAGGAATTATTCGTAAAAGCCATGCGCCATTGATTTCCCAAATGTAATGAAACTATATAAGCAGAGATATGACATATATATTTGACTTAAAGCGAAACCGCCATTTCAAGTCAGTACATTAAAATAGAGCAACGTTGTACATATGGACTCAAGATACACATAGTTTTACCAGTTTTTAAGTCTTATATCTGTTAGGTAGGGCTTGAAGGGAGCATTCCATATGTACTTTTCGAGTTTCACACTAGCATCCGCTACAAAATCCAAGTTACAGTTTCTTGTTCTTGTCAGACTATAATGTCAGTTTACAGATTTGTCTTTGACGATCAATTAAGCATACCTAAGCCTGAACATGAGTCTTTGGGCCTGCGAGCGATTAAAAGAACAGGCAACGAAGCCAACGTATGGATTGATGTACGGATTCAGATCGCTTTATAATCATAGACTAATAGTTTAGAGGATTTCTGTCTGATACGTAGTTCTAGATGCTACAAAACGAAACACAGGTCTAGTATACCGACTTTCAAAAGAGAAAAAACAAATAAATATGATATGCAATTTAGGCACGCAAGGCCGACGGCCCGATATTTACATCAGTTCAAATACACCAAAAATTAAACATTATTTTCATGCAAATGCATAATTTTCATGAAAGCCCTGACAGTACTCACACGTCAACATATTTAAGTTATCCATAACTTAATTTACTTAACAAAGATTTTATTATTTTCCAGTTGCTTCCGTCATACAAACCATAAATTACGCTTTATCGTTATAGAAGGGTTTGCTTCCATGAGAGCATGGTGTAGTCTCAAAAATAGATCTATGTGATCCAAATTCCATATGGCCCAATTATTAACTGGCTTTAGTCCATTAGAACCGTTTTATGGGCTAGAACCCAAAAAGCACGCCTACCAAATTTGGTAACTTTGTTTACTAATATTTCATTAACGACTCACAAAAATTGCTTTTTAGATGAAGACTTGTGGCAAAAGTGATTCGACATGTTCGTCTTTGAACCCAAAAACGTTAGTGTATCGGATTTCATCAAACTACCCTGCAACTTGCGACCTGTAACTTCACGGCAAGCGTACACGTACAGACGGACAGACAGATTAAAATGGATTCAGGAAAATGATTGTGAAACGATTGATATAATATAACGTGGGTCTATCTCAACTCCTGCTCGATGTTACAACGGTCCGCACAAACTTAGTATACTCTCTCTACAAGTGGTGGAGAGTACGAAAACTATGAACCATCCACACTTGCTTACTATATAGAAGCGCATGAATTCTTTCATCCTTCTATTTCTATATCTTATTAATCTTTTTTATGTTCAGCTGGTAGCGTATGAGTGACATCAAAATAGTTCATGTCGTACATCAAAAAATTTTACTATCAAAGAAATTATTATGGATTTTTCTTAGTACCACGTGGCGTATGCAATTATTTTAATTTCAAATAAAATTTCAACATCATATAAGTGAATGCTACGCAGACAGACCTCAGATTCTTGAATTTTTTATAATAAATTATAAGAAATTAATTAAAGAAATAAAAAATTCAAAATATTTTTCTCATAATTTATGATCAATAACCGATATAACTAATAGATAAAAAAAAAGCATATCTGCCCATGTCACCTAAAAATGTACAGTTAGACGGGCGCCAATAACAGCAGAAAGCGGTTTTAATTTTCGTTTCGAGATGTTGAGGGAAAAACTTTCTCTTTCTACTAATAGCAATGTCTGGGGATTTCAATAAGATTCTTATTCAAATATCAAAGATGTGAAGGAACCGGGTTTATCAACTTTTTGTGGTAAAACAAGATATTTAAAGTTACAACAGATCCCAACCCACGCCCTTGACCCGGTAGACACGGTGAACTCTCTAACTTAGATTATGCAAATACCAGAACCATTCGCAGTCTAAGTGATCTTCAAATTGCCTTTCTTTACTAATCAGGCGCTACATAAACACAATTTTTACGACCATTGAATAATAAATTTACTTCTCACAAGAGAAACAGAGAAAAATGCATAAAAATTTATGAATAAATATTTTCTCTAACACTTTTTAACTACGTTACGCGAGCTGCTTTTTACGTGTAATACGAACACGATTACAACATTTCTGTGGCCTTACACGAACGCATCGTATAGGAATAAGTGTTGTACGAAGTTTTATTGTATATGTAGGGATCTGGAATAGCTTGTTAGTGAAGACGAAAAGTCGATTTTTCAAGGAGCATATTTAGAGTAAAGATATCTTGCGAAATATTGAAGGGGAGCCATTAGGTTCGGAGAAACCATTGTTATGTATGCTGCGGGACGGATATAGCTCAGCGTACAACAGTTTTATCACGAATGGTACAATACGCCAAAATGCAGTTATTTGAATTATATAAATATAAAAAGAGTAAGAAGTAGCAAAAGAAGAAGAATAAAATTTCTGATTAAATGCAAAGCAGTCATGCATTTATTTAAGGAGAATTCTTAGACTTGACTATTTAATTGACCACAAGGGAAAATGTCCTTGATATGATTCGAGATTTCTTCCGAAAATAGAATTAATTTCTTAAAGTTTTTACGCATATTTCGCGAAAATAAGAATTTCCTCTTACTTCGCACTTAATTCAACGAGATAACTAATGTCTGTTTGCTTTTAATATAATCATTGCAATTTTATTCAGTCTTAGATAATGTTTTGAAAAATTTCATTTCATTTTTAATACTTCTTATGCTCTCTATTAACATTTCGCAGATATACACTGAATGTTATAGACAATTAATTTCACGGAATTTTCGATATGCAAACATGCGAAAAGAGAGCGTGAAATAAACGGTAAATGGCAGGGAAAAAAAAACCAAAGCCTCGTCTTACGCAGTTAGTTGAGATCAAATTAAAGTTTTTTTTTTTTTTTTTTTTTATAAATGTAAT